GCTATCGGGGCCATCGGGGGCTATCGGGCCCGGGCCGGTGTCACAGTCTGGGGCCACTGGGGGCTATCGGCCCGGCCGGTAAGCGAGGGGCGGGCGGGGGGCCTCAGCCTCCGCCTCGTCACCAGGATGGGCGGGAGCTGCTGCCACCGGCTGCAGAGGGATGTGCAGGGCAGAGCAGAGCTGGGCACACCGGGAACGAACCTTTGGAGGACCCCCTTTATCCGGCGGTTCGCTGCTTAAATTAACAACGTTTCCACGGTCTGTCTTCTAGGTTACAGTGGTTTTCATTCACCCCTCGGTGTTTGCCCCACGATCGGCATCTTCTTCTGGCAAACAAGGCTTTAGGCCTGAAGGTGAAGCAGACATAACCCGGCCTCTTATCTACGGTAAACAAAGTAAAGGACAGAAATACTGCATTGGGCTCTGCAGTATGTCCTTCGGCAGCGGCTGAAGGGCTTCACTGAGGGCTCGTCTACAAAAGAGAGCTGTCAGGAAGGACATGGAATTTGCAGGGAAAAACCCTACAAAATGATGCTTTTATTCCATATCTGATCTTTTTCATGTGTTCAACCCAGACTTGTGTCTTCCCCAGACAGATGGGAAGGCTGTTGGCAGTGGTGGCTGTCACAGTGGTCATGGTGTTATTTGGGGTTTCAGGTGATGTTAGGTCTGTGCTGTGCTTCTCCAGGGAGACATGGCCCAGACAACACTAAAAATCAACTCTGAGTAATGCAGGTGACTCCTGAGACATTGAGACAAATAGTTGTACCCCTAAAAGTGTAAAACAAACAAGGAAGCCCCAAATCAACCTCCACTGCCAACTTTAATTCTGTGGGTACCAACTCCCAATGATTGATTTATTGATTTTGTGTGAATCTGTGTGTTTTTAATGGGTCTTGAGCTGTGTTCCTAAATGTTTTTGTTCCTTTGTTTCAAATTATTTTTGTAGTGTGTCCATAAAAAAAACCCAAAACACTCTCATGTGATTTTCAGAGACTTTGCAGTGATGGTGTTTTAGTGCCACATCATATTGGCAAACTTAAGTCCATTAATGCACCAGAAAGATGCAGCATAATCTATCATAACTAATCCATTATCAGGCTTTTCCCTCATGTTAGGGATGTATTCCAGCTGTCAAACTCACGGTCACTTTGTGTAAACTCATTTAACTGTTAGATCATATTGGTTTTTCCATCTGATAGAGACTTGACTGAGGTTTGCATTGGTGGCCAGGGTGGTTTTAGCCAAGAGCTGTCAGACTGTCAGTTTTTAAAGCACAGTTACTATTCACAGATGTTCTCCAGGTTCATTAAGCCTTGGTGAATACAGAGACTAAAGAGTAGCTTTAATAATTTACTGTAAGGCTGCTGATTTTCTCTTCCTGGAAAGCTTGCACTGGTATGTTAGTCTGTTTGATGTGTCTTTCATGGTCCTTGTGATACCTTTCTGTGTTTAATGTTTCTTTTGATGTTTTTTTCTCTGTTTCAGGTTGAAAATATGGGGAATGCCGAAAGCAATGCCTATCAGAATCACCTTTCCAGATTTCTTCCTGAGGAGCAGTCTGAAATTGATGGACTGTTTGATACCTTATCAGGATCGAGCAGCTCAGCTGGAACAAGAAATCCCAAAGCTGCAAAGAAAACTGTAACTCTGGCAGCACTACAGGCAAGAGAATTTGTTATTCATGATATATTTTGGATGTAGTGCATTGAATGGAATTCCAGAAATAAACTATAAAGATGTAGTAGTTTTTAAGGATTTCTCATCTTAATTCAATTTTTCATATTTTGGAGGAGGATGGATATTTAACTTTTTCTTGCAGTTTAAGCAGAGTAGTGACTTTCAGGTTTACATTTATCTCTTAAATTGCACTTTTGGGTCCAATTGCAGCTTTCCCGATTCTGAAGTAAGTTGGGGTGAATGGAAATATTTTCATAGCAACCTGAAAAATGAGAAGAATATTTTTACCCCTGGAGTCTGTAGTGTGGGATCATTTACAGATTATCTTAAGAAGCTGTCACAAAGTCAGTTTTTATTTGGTTATGCCTGTCTCCCTTGACATATCACTGTCTCTAATCTCTTCACTTGTACTAAAAGGAGAGAATTCAATTTGACTTGATTAATCTGTGGCTCACTGTTTTAGCTAATTAACATGCATTATGCTTCTGATTAAGTTTGAATTCATTTTCTAATCAAGAAAAGAGAAAAATGAGTCATTAGGATTCTTAATAACTTCAGCTAGTCAGGAACTAAGTGGCCAAATGAATGTAGTGGTAAAGTGCAGTTTTATATATATTACACAGATAATGGAGTCAAATTAAAACTCATTGAAAGCAGCAGGTTATTTTAAGGTGTTTAGCAATGCCTGTGCATACAGACCAGCTTCAGCCTGGCTGTTCATGAGCTGTCACCAATTTTTGGAACACCGAGTTTGGAAATGATGTTCCTGCTGCCTGGATTTTCATCACAAATTCATCCAATGTCCTTGGCGCCTATTAATTGTTTGGGACCTGACAGAAGTTCCAACTTTGCCCTAGATCAGTGTGATCCTTGCCTTTTCCCTTGCTGCCTTTTTGTTTTCCAGCTTAAATGAAAATCTTTTGGAGGACTTCCTGTAGGTGCAGGGAGAATGGCAACGGCATTTCTGCCTTGTAGGTGACAATGCTCTTGCCTGGACTGAGATTTGATCTAACACCAATCTGGTACCACTGGTGAGGTCCCCAGGCATTACCACCTGTGCTCTGCTGAGGTTACACATCTGGGCCAGGACTGGCTGCACTAAATAGCTTGGGAAACAGGTGGAGCAGGAACCTCTTGGTAATTTCATGAAGCCTTTTTAAACAAGGGTTCTAAGCTGTCAGAGATGTGAGTTAGATGGTTATTAAGGATTCCTTTTTTGCACACCTCCTTTTTTCGCACCCCAGGTCCACTCTTCGGAGTAACTAGAAGCAAAATGAAGCAGCACAATGAAGTGGTGGGATTAAGCAGGGAGTGGGTAGGTAATTCAGCAGTGTGAAGTAAAAAACCCTTGAGTATAATGTTTTGGATGTGTTCCCTGCTGCCTCTCCCACTTCAGGCTGATGGAGGATTTTTAGAAAGCCTCTCAAAGGCAGCTGTACCCCCTGTGAGCATCCCTCCCTCGCTGTGGAGCACTCTGATGTGAAAAGCTGTGGCTGCTGTTTCTGCTGCTGCTGGAATCAATGGGAGTTGTAGCACTGACGTCAGTGTGAGCAGCGCAGAGCTCAGGATATTGGGTCTCTCATGCCCAGCAACAGCCATTAGCAGCAAATAGGAGCAGCCCAGGTGGCTTCCCAAGAGTGGTATTGAGCCAGGAATCAGTAATAGCAGCTCCCCTGAGTGGAGCTGGAGTTGGGCTTTTAGGCAGGTGGGGTTTCACTGATTCCAGCACAGTCCCCACTGAGCTACACCCTGTGTGGAAGAGTCAAGGCAGGTCTTGAGCACATCTCTGCACAGTGAGGACACCGGGTAATCACCTCCTCCTGTATGCATGCATTTGAGATGATTTATTTTTAAACTGTGTAATTATCTTGAACACTCTGAAAGTTGAATCCAGAGTCAGATCTTTCCCACAGAGCTCTGATGAATGATGATATATTCCAGCTAGATTTCAATTCAAAGGGCCAAGCATGCAGTCCGGATGAATAAGTGCTGATTTTGACTCGCTTAACACCAGGGATGCTTTTTAAAAATCAGGTGATCTGTGCTTCAGTTAGTTGCTATGCAGGGGGAAATTTTCCATCATTGTTTCTACATATGCTAGAAGAGTTAAACACTGCCTTGAGGACAAAGCTGAGATATGGAAAACACTCCACTTTGTTTTTCAGTGATCTCCACTGTCGAAAGCAGAAATAAAACACAATTTTGAATGGTTTACTGGCAGAGCTATAAACCTTTGCACCAGAGTTATCACCTAGAAACCCTTTGCTAATATCCTATTAAAACTTTACAGTGTTGGTTTTTCTGAAGTGTGTGGTGCTTCTAGAAAAACAGTATCAACCTAAATCACTAAAAAAGTCACTGTAAAAGTAGAGATTTTTAGTTTTTCTCTTGGCAAAACAGTTCTTTGACCAAAGTTTATTGCTGATAGCACAGACTGTATGTCAGCACAGATTAACTGGAACACATGAGTTGTTCCTGGTTTGTAAAATGTGCTTTTTGCTGTTTCTCTCACTGCAGGCACACACCCGGGAGCCCCTGCCAGAGCCAATGACTGCTCGCTTGTACAATGGAATGAAAAGCATTGACCTGCCTGGCAAATCATCGGGGCTCAGTCAGCAGATTGCTAAGGAGCAGTTTGTAATTTTTATGTCAAACCTCTTAAAAGGGAATGCAGATGAGAAGATTAGCATAATAATGAGAATGATCTCCAAGACAGGAGGGCCTCTGAAGGGCAAACAAATCCAAGAGGTAAAGGAGCAGTTAAATTTGTGTTGGGGGGACAGTAAGAGCGCAGGGCTATAGTTAAAGGGAGCCCCACAAGGGCTGTGGTGTGGCTGGTGCTTCTGGAACTGAGTAAAATGCTTTCTAGAGCTTCAGTTGCAGGATCAGCTATGTAGCTTTTGGGATATCACAGAACAGTAATTCACTAGCAGCTCCTACACTGCAAAACTTGACCCTCCCTTCCCTCTTTCATTCCCTATTTTATGGAGGTGCCTTGTGAAGTAACGTGTATGAAATGTCTTGAAAAAGGATCTTTTTCAAGCCCTATGACACTGAAATAGCATTTCTGTAGTTCCTGACTTGTCATGGCAAGAGATGTTTCTGCCTTTGGGATTACAGCATCACTACTGCTTGACTTTTATCTTCAGATGATCCTTCAAAGCTGTTAGAAATTTCACTTAAGAAATACCAAAACGGTGATGTTTTAATCTTTTAAGTTCACAGAGGATCTGATCACTTCTGTAGTCCATGTACTGAGCTACAGGAAGGAGCTGAAAGGTTGGAGTTTGGAGAATACGAGGGATTCTTCAAGCGGAGTCAAAGCTTTGGCTTCTGAGCTGCTCTCAGAATTGAAGCTTCCAGGTAAGCAGCCCTCATTCAGCATATCCCAGTGCTTGTGCAATCACTGATCTCATGAGAATTTCTCTTTTTAGGTCACATCTTTGAATTTAAAGGGTGAGACCAAAATTTCAAACTTAGTGCTTAGAAAATTATATTGGGATTTTATTTATTTAACCTTGCCATCTTTCTCCCCTAAATTCAGGTGAGACTCGATCTGAAGTCACAGTTTGTCATGGAACATGTCTGTTTTGCAAATACCTGACTTGCAAATGATAGGAATGGGCATCTAAATAATATTTATTTAAATAAAATTTATCGTGTACTTTCAACTATGTCCTTTTATAAAGCACAGGTCTACCTTTGCACTGTTGTAATAACAGATTTTGCTGTCTTGTAAAGAACCTTTCATGAGTTGTAGTTTGGAATCTGTGTTTCTAAATCATGATAGCCCAACCAAAGAATTCCACAGGTAATGGTTTCGCAGTTCTGTGGTTTCATTTGTTTAATGTAGTTGACAGTTTACTGTTGCTGGCTCCTTTCACTCGTGGTTTTCTGTCCATTACCATCATGAGTATTATGTTTACAGTTAAAAATAGCCTGATTATTTTCCAGACAGGGAGACTTACTCTTGTCCTTGTCTTATTCTTTAGATGGGACAAAACCCGTGGGTTCTCAGCTGCTGGAGACAAATTTTGACCAAAGTGTCATTGAGGATTGGGTGTACCGAGTTCCCCAGATCTCAGTTTTCCTCAGTGTTGTCATCAGGCAAGGCCTCCAAGTCCTGCATTCCCTCCCAGACCAAACCAACGACATCCTCAACCTGGTTCCTCACTGCAAAGGCATCAAAGGAAGAGGAGTTGTCAGTCTCTTTGACATCCCAGCCATCATCTACATCAACTCCCACCTGCCTGCAGAGATGCAGCACAAGTGGCAGCTTTTATTTTCCTCCAGGCTCCATGGGGAGAGCTTCTCACAGTTGTGTGCCCATATAGTGAACAAAGGTCCTTGCCTGGTAATCATAAGGGACTTGGATGGTTTCCTCTTTGGTGGGTTTGCATCTCACTCCTGGGAGGTGAAGCCACAGTTCCAAGGTAAAACTCACTTTTCTTTCTTTACTATCTCTGGTAAATTCCCTGTTTTTGTACAAACTCAAGAATCCTATCCCCTTAATGGATAATGTCCCTTTAATGACACAAAGCGTTTCTTACACTTCCAAGCAAATTTGTCTGTGGCAAAAATAACACTGATTTTCAAAGAATATAAAACACATGCAAAGTTATTCTTAGCATGGCAGTCAGGTATGTTGATGATTAATATTTATAGTTTGTTTTTTGATAAGGCTTTTAAAATTGCAGGAATTACTGACTGCAGAACAAGTTTTCAGGGAAATCTATCAAGCCCTGTAGTTGCTTAGGTTGAAAATGAAATGAAAGTGAATGAAGTAGAGCACAGATGATGAATTAGTGTCTAAATAATTTGTCCACAGGATGGCAGTCCTCCATCAGGAACACCTGAGCCTCCTCTTGCCATTTGTGCACTGTCTTTGTTCCCCATCTAAAATCCAGCAGACAGAGGATTCTTTGGACAAGCTAAACTTCTTGTTCCCTTAAAACTGTGGGGGAGAAGAGAGGGTTTTTGAAGAACTCTTTGGAAAGAATGTTTGTGATGGATTTATGAAGAAAAAAACATGGGCTATGGGTATTTGGGTTTGCTGGGAATCCTCACTCTGGCTACATTAGAAACTCAATTCATGTCCTAAATGAGTATTTGAAAATTACCACTTCAGACAGTTAGTGTAATATCATTTTACACCGATTGCACATTCCTTTCCTTGTATGTTTTCCTGATAGAGAAACATATAAAGCGTACAGGGCAAGCACACCACAGGTGCCTCTGAAACCTGAACTGGGCATGGTGAAAATTGCTCCAAATCATCAACTCTGAACTGATTTATGTATTGATGTAGTCAGAGCTAGGGATGTCTGCATTCACACCAGTTTGCACAGATCTGTCAGTTGGCCACTTTTAGGTGATATAATGCAGTCTGGGGTAGGTGACATAGTGACATAATGTCCTAGTGGTGCCTCTGACTGTGCCCTTGGATCTCAGGCTGGAATAGCATTGATTTTTATGACTGCACAAAGTTCACTGAGAATAAAAAATAAATCTAAATCTTGATGGGAGATTTACTGCCTTTCTGAGATAGCAGCTGCTGTCTTTGAATTATTCAGCTTAAATTATTTTTTCTAATTTATCTGTAGGCAAGTTACTGCTTGACCTCTTGTCTGACCTGAGGTGTTTCTCTGTTTGCAGGTGACAACAGATGCTTTCTGTTTTCTGTTTTTCCCACTCTGGCTGTATACACATACACAGGGTACAATGACCACTACATGTATTTAAACCATGGCCAACAGACTATGCCAAATGGACTTGTAAGTATTCAGAAATGATGGTTTGGAAATTGGATTTGTGGCTGGCATTTGGAAGTGTTTTGTGGGTTTTTTCCTTTCTGAGAGCAGATTTATTTCACTTGTTACTCTCTGAAGAAATCTGCATGCCTGAAGCAGCACAAAACAGCGATCTGTGTAAATGAGGATTCTTCCACTGGCTGCTCTCCCTTCCACACCAACTGCTTTTGGAATTTTGGAGGAGAAAGCCCAGCAGAATGGGAGTTGCAAGTAGCTGCTGCTGCTGCTGTGTGATGACAGTGGCAGGAGCTCCTCCTGCCCAAGTTCACAAATGAGCTCTCCAGCTGCAGAGGAGTTTCTACAGAGCTACAACACACCACCTGTCTTGGAAATGCTTTACAGTTTTGGAGCATTATATGCCCATAACTTTGGAAATTCCAGCAGGCTGGAATTAATTTGCTCTAGAGAAAGTGAACAACATCAAGTTACATTATTGGTTGCTGTAGGTACTTTCCTAAATGGAAAGGAGGCAGCAAACCTGAGCACTGCCACTCTGTTTGAAATGGAACTGGAATAAACAAAAGCCAGGAGCTTAATTTCTGGCACAAGTCACAGATACTTGTATTCTGTGAAACACAGAGGTAGGGCAGTACCACTCAGGTAAATTTTTAGTTGTGTTCAGGAATAATACCTGTGGGTATAGAGGCCCAGCTTCACTCAGAATCCCCTTTTCTCACCTACCCACAGAAGTGTGGCATAAATAATGACCACAGCAGCTTATTCTCATGTTTCCTAGCTTTCCCAGTCTGCTTTCCCTGTGCAGGATGTGTTTAATGTGCTGGTTTTCTCCATAGGGGATGGGTGGACAGCATGGCTACTTTGGGCTCTGGATAGACAGTGACTACGGGAAGGGCCACAGCAAAGCCAAACCTCGATGTACCACCTACAACAGCCCCCAGCTGTCAGCCAAAGAGGATTTTACACTGGATGCCATGGAAGTCTGGGCGGTGGGAGATGCCCCTGAGAGTGCAGGGGTAGGTGAAATTGTGAATTGAACCTGTGAAATTGTGTCCTGGTTGCAGCAGAAGATGAGAATGCAAAGCTCAGGGTTGCAGTTTTCTGTTTAAACACTGTCTCTCCACTGCAGTAACATTTTCCTTTCGTGCCATGTGTTTTGTAGCACCAAATAACAAAACTATAGTGGAATTATTGAGGGTGTCAACAAGAAAAAATATTAGGAGCCATGAGGTGATAGAGTCAGAATAGCAGTACTTTGAATTTCAGAAGGCCTTTTCAATATTGAGGAATGCTTTCTGGGAGGAACCTCCTTGGAGGGGCTCAGTGAAACTCAGAGTTTCTAAAAGCACTGAAAATTCTCAAATCTAATCTGTAGTTCAGGAAGACACCCCAAAGCTTTCTTTATCAGTAACTTTAAATTTACTATTATTTTGTCATAAATTTATGTGAATAGGTTTATGACTATTTCTTTCTGCACCTGGTTTATTTTTGGGAATGAGTAGGAGCCCTCTCTCCAGCCTCCATTATCCCTGCAATTTATTCTCTTACTAAACTGTCTGCTCTATACAGTTTGTTGGGGTTTTAAAATTTATTTCTTTTTAATTTTTACTTCTTTTCATACTAAATTAATGTACCCTGACTTCACTGGACACATAGGTTTAAGTAGAAACAGAGCAAACTGTTTACAGAAAATGTCAAATTGTAACTGGATCTCTTCTTTAAAAACTTCACATCAGCACTTCAGATTGGGGTGGAGTTAACCAGGATATCCTGGATGGCTTGTAACCTGAATAAACTTGAAATAGCTCACTGTCATCTTAGGAAAAGTTTATGGCTATTTTATGTAGATGCAGCAGTAAAAATAATTAGATTTTTTGGTTACTTTTGACATTGGAAATAGGTCTTCTCCATTGTGCCAGGCTTGCAGACCACATCACTTACAGACTTTTGAATGTGTCCCTTCCCTGTAGCCTGATACTGAGGTTTTAAATTGACTGTATTTTATTTTGTTTTGAAGAGAAAAGGTAAGAAGAGTATCCTGGATGTGGATCCTCAGGCTCAGGCCTTGTTAGAAATGGCTGGAAAAAGCCGTCAGAGCGAAGGTCTGCGGGAGCCCATGGAGGAGGATGAAGGTAATGATGATGAGAACTAAAGGAGCCACAGTAACATGAAAAACCTTTGCTTTTATTTGCTTCAAGTGATGATGATGTTCCTTGGAGAAGATATTTTTTTCCTATTTTTTCCCCCCTTGAATTTACCTAATTGTCTAGGACAAAGCTTAAGCCTTGTACTTGTGTAATATTTAGGTTGAAAACACTATTCTGCCTGAAGGGTTTTGTTTGGGGAGGACAAAAAAATTAACTGGGGTCATAATCATTAGGCATGGCTGAGCTCCAGCTGAATATGAATCTGCTTTCATTCCTCATAGATCATGCCTGCACTCTGAGTTAAAAGCAGCAGAAGTTATTGACAGTATGGCTTTCTGTCCTGGAGAATTGATATGTACATAGTTATATATTTATAAAGTCTGTTCAAGGCACTGATTAAAGCTGATACCTCAACTGCACATATTTATTTGCATGCAATGAAATTAGTCAGCAATGCTTACAAATGTAATGGTGTCTTACACTGGTGAGCACAGAATAGTCCACATGATGCCATATGAAGAGTGCTATTAATTTACATTGCTTCAGTTAAAGCACTAAATTCAAACTTTTTAAGTCAGATTTTCAGCAGGTGATTCCATCTGAGCTGTAGGATGTCCAGAACAGTTACACAACAACAAGTTTTATAGTATTACACTATCCCTAGAGCATCTCACTTCATCACTTTCTGTAGAAATTTGTCTGCTGCTTTTTAAACTTAGGCCAGAATCACTGGAGCCGTATTTATCCTAAAAATGGGCCCTACCTCCAGAAGCAGAATTCTCTAGAGAGGGTACATCCTTGGGTAGCCTTATGAGACTGCAGTAAAAGATCAGGCTGTAAAAATGGCTGAGTAAGAAGCAGCCACATTTAACTGAGAATAGGATCTGCAGATACCTTGTGGGAAAAAAAAAAAAAAAAAAAACCCTCTTTTTTATGACTGTAAAATGTTTAAAGAAGATTGCTGTACATTTTATTTCCACATAATGAATCATTACTCTGTGATGGAAAAGAATCCCCACAATGTGAAATGCAGCTGGGGTTTGTGCTCTGTTTTGTGGCTGTTCACCACTCAGCACCAGTTTTGTCAGGTCTCTTATACTCAGGACTTTTTCTACATGAATTATCGTTCCCATCCCTCAGTAATTATTAGTCTGACCTTGCTATTTCTATGTGTAATTAACTTGTCAAAAATAACCCAAATTTCTACTCAGCAACAAGTTTTTGGTTATCAGTGTCTCTGATTGTCAGTCTTTCTCCTCCTGAGGAAAAGGACTGTGTCCAATCCCTTTTGACCTGTCATGAGTTTGTCTTCTTTGCACCTTAGAGAAAAACAAAAGAATGCTGTAATTTCTGCTCATGTGGCCTTCCTTGAAATTCTTTCCCTTGGTGTTCTCTTCTATGAGATTTTCCCCCCCTACTTGTTGTTTTTCATAAGGAGCCAGAATTGAATTTTCTGAACAATCTGCACTTGTGCCTTAACAGAGATCTCATTTTTAAAAATTATATTAAACAACATGAATTTAGCCTTGAAAGGAGAGCATGAAGAAAGCACTCCAGCCAGGCATCCTAGGACTCAGCAGTGTGTTTTGTAGAGTACCTGAACAAATGCTGGGGATGTTTATATGCTCTTTGTTCCAATACTGAGAGTGCTGTGAAAGGCCTGGGAGAATGTCCTTTTATGCTGTGTTTACTTAGAGAAACCAGATCATCTCCCAGGTTTGTTACACACAGGAAAAAATAAGCATCAGAACGATTCAATTGCACTGATACCTTTGTACAGTTCTCTATATATTAATAATATTAAATTTCACAGTGTAAGGAGTAGTAAGTACATGATGTCTTACATGATGTAAGTTGGTGATATCAGCCTTTGTTTGAACATTCTCAAACTCCCACCAGGAGTTTCAAAGGTCTTTTTCACTCAGCAATGACTAAGCCTATTAAACACTCCCATGTGGATGGCATACAGGATGAGACAGTTGAATTTCTGCACTTAAAATAAACAGCTAGACTTTATTTTACTTCCATTACAAGGCAGAAGGTTGTTTTTGAGAACTGAAACCCTCTTCAAGGGTATAAAAAAATAAAATTGAATTGTACAGAGCTACTCTCCACCAAAAATATTTCAATATGGCCAGGTTTTCTTTGAATTTTAATAAGTATAGCTGTTTCTTTCTAGACTGTGAATTCAAAATATAATCCTGTTTAAACTTCATCTTGTGACTATCAGCATAGCATTGTGACCTCTGAAAGTGTAGTTTTTTGACAAGTTTGTGTCTGAGACTCTTCTCTTCAAAGGTGTTAAGTTGGGGCAAGAAGAGAACTGACACTGGCACTTTAGCAAATGTCTCAGTGAAGCATTATTTACTAGGATGCTATTGATCCAACCAGCAGATGGGATTATTACAAATTATTCTTTCAATATAAAAGATGGGCTTGGGAGAGACTCAGTTTTTCTTTTAAGCTGAACCTAACGATTAAGAAATCTGGGCTTCATGCTCATGCACCTAAAAATGTCCAGAAGGCTTTTGTGAGCAGTGGGTTTAGATGTGATCTGAACAGCTCAGTCCTTTTTGTGCAGTTGTGATCCAGCTGCAAAGCTCCACATCCCTGCTCTGTTCCAGACTCATCTTTATTCTCAGGCTCTCGTGGAAGTGAGTCCCTTCCCCATTAAATCCATCCACTGCTGGGTGTTGGGTCTGATCAGCCTTCCCTTTTTCTCCTGTCGGTCACACAGGTACAAAAACTGACAGCTGAGGGTTTGCTTCAGCTCCTCGCTCTGTTTGTCAGCTCCCCACTGCTTCCTTGAAAGGCTTGCTGAGTCAGGCCTGGATATCTGGGAATCCACAAACACTATAAATTGAAGGAAAAGAAATGCTTCAAGGCAGGTCTTATCCACTCTTCTTACTAAACATTAAAGGATGTGTCTAAATCACGAGTCTCACTCAGATACTTGTCAGCAACATTTTAAAATGTAGATTTTATTAACAAAAATGATTTTGATTTAAATAAATAAAATCTCAGTTTATGCACAATAGATTTTTCTGTACAGGTGTGAAACTCTTCTTTTGCCTGGGACTAGCACAGCCTCTTGGAACACAGATCAGTGTTCCACAAATACAGCTGCTCTTGGTTTAAACCAGGAGCCACTTTGGAGGTTTCTGCAGGCAGCTCACGCGGAGCGGGTAGAAGAGTCTCTGGTGCAAGGGCTGTGGGTGCAGATGCACTTGAGTACCTTCAGGAAAGAAGTGTGGGTCACAAAGCACGGATTGGGATTATCCAGCATCACAGCTGTGTTCCAAGCGTATTTTAGAGCAGTCTCAGTCAGTTGTGACATCCCTTTGTGTGCTTTGGGTGGCAGCAGCGCTTTTCACAGAGTTTGACGAGCTCAGACACGACGAACACTGAGGAAGCCAGGCCGGTGAGGAACAGCAGGTCTGGGACAGGAGAGAGTGGAGGTGAGCTCAGCTGGGCAGGAGTCACAGCCCAGGGCCTTCCTGAGCTGGGAATTGTGCTGCTGAACCCCTGAGCTGGTGGCCTCGCTGTGCCCTTGCCAGCTGAGAATTAGGGACACCACTGCAGCAACACGAGGGCCACCCACAGCTGGGACAGTCCCCTTGGAGGGTGGAAACAGGAATCATTTGGGATCCCTGCCCCTGCTCACTACAACAGCCTAAGGTAGATGTAACACTGTGTGGTAGGGTGCAGTTTGCGGATTTAAATTAAAATCTGTCCCATTTCAGCTGGGAAATTGAAGTTGAACCCAGCTCTTTGCAAAGGGAGTGTCTTCATAATGATCTGAGAAATATGCAGAGCTGAAAAATCTTGGCATGTCTCAATTTACATGCATTTATGTGCAGTAAGTCAAAATTCTGAATGTAAGCTGGGATAATATTAAATACTACTACTATTTGGGTACAGCCAAGTGTAAATACAGAGATGGGAGTTGTTGGTTGATTTCTCCTGCCAGTGATGTGTTGGGAGCCAACAGAGCAAAATGGGAATGGCAGCTGCTTTCTAAAAGTCACTTTAAGGGAAAAAAAAACCCAAAACAAACCATTATTTATTTTGAAACTTACCTAACACTCCTAAATTCTCTGTCTGGAAGATCTTTTGTAGTGGAGGGATGTAGATAACAGCCAGCTGTCCCAAAAATGACCCAAGCACGGAATACAAGAACATGCGGTTTCGGAAAAAGCCGATTTCAAATATCAACTTTGTCTAGAAAAAGGCCAAAAAAAAAAAAAAGTTAAAAAAGTAAGTTTTCCCAATCTCTGTTGGAGCTAAATGTCACCCTGTTTCTTTACATTTCATCTCCATTACTTTTTAAGTTACAGAAACACAAACTTAGAGCTACGTAATTGAAACTGTAGTTGCACTTGAACTGTGATGGATAATTTTATCCATATAAAAAGTTGATAAAAATCATACTACTTTAAATAACATTAAAGAAACCCTTACTATGCAAAATGCTGGTATTCTAATGTTTATGTTTGTGATTTGAGACAAGAAATTACTGCTGACAGAGCCATCTCACCTGAGAGCGACATGTCAGGGCATTGAAGAGGTCAAAAAACACAAAACAGGTAAAAGTCATCGTTGTGGTTCGAGGAGTTATGCCTCCTTTTGGATTCTAGAAGCACACAAAAATTCAGGGGTTAGTTTAACCTTACAAAAACATGCCAATTCAATAGAAGAATTAAATGTTCCCTTTAATGAACCCAGTCAAATCAAAGGGTAGTAAAACAAAGGAGTATATCTAGTTCTAGTTATTAGAGGTGGCATTCAGTTCTCTCTGCTAATTTTAAAGTTTATGATGTTATCAACTGTATTTTAAATTCTTAAACTGATGTGGACTTTGAGTAAAGAACATTGTAAATTACTGAAACTGAAAGTACCAATCCATTGTACTTGGCATTTTCTGCTGGGAAAATGGAAAGCTAGAGGTGAAAAGTCCCTTAAAGTATTGATGTCACATCAAGTAATAGGTTTCCCATCCTAGATTGGAAGGACCAAATTGGAGGTAACAGAGGGAGGCAGGAGCAGAGCTGGGAGCTGACCCTGCTTTCTCAGCCCTCTGCCCACACTGATCCTTCCCCATGGGATGGGTTCCAGAAAGTCCTTCTCATGTCCTTCAGAGACTGCCCTCACTTCGTGCTCCACCCACCCTGATGGAAACAAGATCTGAGCTCAGATTTCCCTCACCTCCTTCCAGAACACAAAGAGGGTTCCGCTGATGATGATGAGTGCTGACATGAAGATTTTCAGGATCAGGGATTTGCTGAGGATGGTGTCTGTGATGCACCGGGGGGGCTGCTTGATGGTGTCCCTGTCAACAGGTTCAACCCCCAAACTGCCTCCAAGAGAAGCGGAGGATGTGTTAATCAAAGCAGGATGGAGCTGGAGGATGCAGTTCTTTGGAATGCAGCATGAATATTCAAGCAAGGTGACATAAGGACCAATGTTAAATCATCAGACCAGTATCCCACCCCAGAGTGAGAGCTAACTGTGAGAGTGTTCTGTAATTGTATTTAGCTGTAATTAGCAGTTGGATGAGGTTCCTAAGTCTTGTGATTTTGGGGCATATCCCCACTATTCCCTGGTCATTCTACCAGCAATTGATATTTTCAGGATAACAGGCCATTCCTAGCCAAAAAATGGAACAGTTAAGTGATTCCACCTTAAAACAGGAAAATACAGAAAACTTCAAGTAAATGTGAAGTGCTTTTTGCAAGACCAGGGAGGGAACAAGAGTGCAGCTCATTGAGCCACTGATGATGACTGATGAGGAATCACAACAGTTTGTGTTCCTAGGCCAAATTCAGACATATTAAACCCAAGATTACTTTTCTCACGGGACTCTTCCATACCTCTGTGCTGGTGGCCCATCCATGATGATGTTGATCCATAAGATCTGCATAGCATTGAGTGGATTTGGTAGGTTGAGCACTGTTGACAGGGTAATTAGGCTCAGAGCTGAAATACTCCTGCAAAGCACAGAAGAATATTATTCTGCAGGGCCTCACCCCGAAGGTGCTTTCACAGGAGCTGAAGCAAACAGGAACTTACGTGCTCAACTGGAACCGGACAAAATTTTTTATGTTGTAAAATATTCCCTTTCCCTCTTCTATTGCATTCCTGGAAGGGAGAGGGGAGTTCATTAAGTCAAGAGCACTTACACTGTTTTACACTGAGCTCCCCATGACACTCAAAAACACAAATTGTCTTTTGTAGCCCTTATGTCAGTGGAAATTCAGAGCCCAGCTCAGGAGGTTATCAGTGAAGCTTCTCACTTAGAATTCCTCTATCAAGGAGTAGATCTGAAAATCTGGGTCATGTGGCCAGGTTCTGGTTCATAAAGCAGGCCTGGGCCCTATTTTTATACTCACTGTACCCTGCCCACTCTCCCTGTTGTTATGAACCAACAGAGCATTGCAAATTATGTTTTTCCTCTCAGCCTTCTGGATGAGGCAGAGTACGAGGCAGAACCGTAAAGGTTGGAAAACAGCTCCAGGATCATTGAGTCCAAATTTTGACCAGAAACAAAAGCTCTGATCTACCCAGACTTCTAGGTGCTCTCAGATCCCCAGCTAGCTACAGCAGTGAGAAAAGCTTTCAGGTGAAAGGTGGCTTGGTCAGCACCACTTGGAAGGAAAGTCTTTGTGCAGCCAAAGACGAGTCAGAGCCACCCTGGGGCTCTCCACTTCCATTCAGGAACTTCCATTCACACAACAGGCTCTCTGCAGCGGGCAGTCAGAAAAGAGCTGAAGAGTGAGAGAAATCTCTAAACCTACATGACTTTTGAGAAGTCATCATCCACCAGGATCATGTTGGCAGCCTCCTTGCTGACGTCTGTCCCCGCTTGCCCCATGGCGATCCCGATATCCGCGGATTTCAGGGCCACGGCATCGTTGACGCCGTCCCCTGTCATTGCCACCACAGCACCAGCCCTCTGCAAGGCCTGTGGGCAGAGCACAGAGCACAAACAATCCGTGTTGGCAATTTCAGGGTCTGTACTATTTGCTTTGCTCTTTCTGCACTGAAAGGTCAGAAGCTCTGCTTGACTCTGAGGGTAGAACACACTCGGCACCACACTGAGGACAAAACTCAGAACAACAATTAGGAGACTGCTTTTTCAGGAGTATAGGGAAACTCACAACTCCAGCAGAAGTTAGCAGAGGGTAATACAACCCTCTTATATAATATTCTCCTGATGCTATAGCTGCTAATACCTCACTAGTTTTTTTTACTTTTGTATGCCCAGGCCCAGACTTGCAAGAAACACCATAAAATCATAAAATATCCTGAGTTGGAAAGGACCCACCAGGATCATCAAGTCAAATTCCACATTTCAGAGAAACAGTGCCAGTGCTCTAGTTGGGGTTTCACAGTTCTTTACTTTGAGCTGATGCTGCTGGGGAAGACTAGATCATCAAGAGAACTGAGGCTCCCTCCCCCTCGTTTTTGTGAGCTGTACAATGAATTTCAGAGGCTCTTAGTACCTTTATTATTTTTAATTTGTGTTTCGGACTTGTTCTGAAGAAAATGGAAACCTGAAAGACAAAAAAAAGACAAAATATAATCTTGTATTAGATGGAAGTTATTGGAAATAGCTTTTTTTTTTTTTTATGTAATCAAAGCCATTACATTTTGGACAGTGGAGGAGAGTTCTGCCTCTGCCAGTTGGTCCAGCTCTTCCCCAGACATGGCTTTCAGCTTCCCATTGCACAGACCAATATTCTGTCCTGCAAAGAAAAGAGACAGCACTCTAAATATTAGTGGATTCTATAATCCTAGCAATGTTATCTGTGTATTTTAAGAGCCTTACACTGAGATTTTGCCATTTCTGGTGCTAAAATAGTGGAATCTATTTACTGGATTTTGGCTCAGAGTTCGTAGCCGCTATATACTCCATTTAACATTTGTTTCAATGCAAAAGCAAAAACTCAGTGACCTTTAAAGCCTTTACTGCACACACAAAAATGATGCTAAAGTTGGTTATTAAGGGATAAAACACTTGGCTGATGTGACAGACATACCACAGACCCCCAGGAAAGCTGTCAAGTTTGGTACCTATAGCCACAGCCGTTTCCAGGGCATCCCCAGTGACCATCTTCACTGCCACACCAGACTCAAACAGGACTTGAACAGCTTCTCTCACTCCAGCCCTTGGGGGATCAATTATTCCAACCAGACCTAGAAATGTTAGTTTGCCAAGTTCTGGACCTGAAGCCAAAGCAAGGACTAGTAACAGAGGGGAGAAAAAGAGGACAAGAGTAAATTGTTAATGATGACATGCTTTAAAAGGAATATTTAGAGAAGATATAAAATTGCCTGTTTTCTAGCAGAAAAAGTCATTGAAAGCAGACCTTTAGTCATTGCAATCAGATCTTATATAGACACAAAAATTCAGTCCACTAAATAATAGTTTCTCTGAACGAGAGCATTTCTGTTTGACATGTTTCTCTTAGGATTTCCTTCTTTCTCATTTTCAGCTGTCTACCACGTCTTCCCTAAATGCAGATGGATTAGATCTGGACAGTGTTATATTAAACCAAATACTATTAAACTAGTAAGTTAAACAATACCATTCCTGCAAAAACTTACACTTTTTTAAAAATCTAAGAATGTGAAATGTAAATTCAGTTAAACCAGTGAAACTCCCATCATGTAAACATGCAGGCTCTGAACATTTTGTCTCTGTTCCTGGTGCACACCCGTTAGCATTCAATCATCCTTAAATCACTCAAGGATATTTTGCCAGGGGTTCATGTCAGTGTTGCTTTGATGATGGAATCAAAAGCTGCAGCAGCTGTCTGAATTAATCACTTCCCTTCAGAGCAGTAATTTGCCATTGCCACGAGGGCAGATGATTTGGATATTGTAAATCAAGCACTGCACAGGAGTTCCCAACCACAGGACACAGGGTGGGAGAATCTGTCCATTAACTTCACCATCCTCCAGATCCAGCTGCCAAGGCTTGTCCTCATCTCCTTACAACCTGGGAATGGTGTTTGTGTCACTGTGTGAAAGTCTGAGATGTTCTGAGGGGACGTTTCTGGTGATGAAGGAGGTGACACGTGTGTAAAACTCCTGTGGGCAGTTGGGATCAGGAGATCGAGAGATTTGGGTCTAACAAAGGATTGAACCGAGCTTCAAACAGAAATCTCAGCGCCCAAATCTGTGTTTGGAACTCCTTTCAGAGTGGCTTTTTGTTGCTGTCTTCTCCAAAACCAAAACTTGGCAGAGCAGTGCTTAGATCGGGCCCAGCACAAAGCGCTCCAGCGCATCACCCCGAGCGTATCCCAGACAACCACAGCACTCCATGGAACAGAAACATTCACATTTCCTGGGCTTATTTTCAGTTCCTTTCAAACTCATTAATTTAAACCCAGCAAAACAAAGCAAAAAATATCAGCTAGCAGACCTGAGACACAACCCTTGGCACTCTGACAAATGCTGGGAAGAGATCATGAAAGTAGTCCTAAGAACTCAGGGCTTTAAGATGAAACAAGGGAGATGTAGATTGGATATTAGGAAGAAATTATCCCCAGTAAAGGTGCTGAGGCCCTGGCAAGGATTACCCAGAGCAGCTGTGGCTGCCCCTGGATCGCTGGCAGTGTCCAAGGCCAGGCTGGATGGGACTTGGAGCACTCTGGGACAGTGGAAGGTGTCCCTGCCCATGGCAGGGGTGGGAATGAGATGAGCTTTAATGTCCCCTCATCCCAAACCTCATTCTGTGAGGACTGAGCCTCTGCCCATCCTAACCAGGACAGAGCAGGAAAGTTTTAGGCCAGATAACCTGTAAGATTAAGGACTGACCTCGAAGTCCTGAGGAGCCCATCCGCTTTTCTTCCTGCTGGTAGAGGGCTTTTTGCTGGGGCGTGAGGGACAATGAGATGCCACCACTGTTGTACAGGGTGCAGTGCTGGATGACTTCTTCAAATGCTCCTTTCATAAAGTAAATATCCTCCTGATCCTTTAAAGCAAGGAGAGAGTACACTTTATCCAAGAAGAGGAGCAGATTTTAAATGAATGAGTCTTTAACTGTAGGTAGAAAAGATCCCGTTTTCTCTTTTACCTGTTTCGAGAGATGCTCATGAGCATATATTATGGATGGGATGGGATATTTTTGCTCTGGCCATTTTTCATGTTCAGCCCTCACAGACAGCATGGTAATGAAAAGGTTGGTGAGTTTTTAAACCAGAGCATAAAATCAGCCAAAATGAGCTCCTTAACCCAGAAAGGGATAAAGGAACAACCCCTTGTCCCAAGCACCAGACCCCTCTCTCCCTGTCACTTATCTCTGAAGAGCTTTTGTTTTCCTGCTCGAACCACTGTATGAGAACTATTCCCTCCTCCCATTCAAGCACAGTTTTATGAGCTAAAAATCCACCCAAGCTGGGAATTTTGAGGTTTGTTCCATTTTCTCCCGACACAGTTAACTCCTGAAAACATTATTTGCTGAGGAGATACCATTTCATGCCCATTGTTGAGGTGCACAATTAGAAACACGAAACCAGCCCCTGCCTCTGTTTGCTTTACCTGATTTTTCAGTGTGCATTTCACAGCCATCCACTTCTGCTCAGAGCTGAATGGAATTTCCTTCTTCCTTACATAAATGTCCTTTATGTCAGCTAATTCCATCTGATGCAAGGGAAAACAAAAAGAGCACTGTAAGGCTGGACACTGCCAAAACCTGGATGTATTTTCCATATCATAAGGATTGACTGCTGACTGTGCCTTTCCAGGCTGTCAAATACCACAGAGCTCAAGAGAAAACACGAGGAGAGCAAAATTCATATTTCAAACCATTTTTTTTCCTTTTGGTGTGCCTGATATGGGATAAATTGAACTGGCATTTGAATCAAGCTTCAAATGCCATAAGTTTTTAAAGAATTAGTGAGCTGCCCTGCCTTTTTGTGAGGCTTTGGGTCAAAGGAGGATCAAGTCCATTCCCTAAACCTATGGCAAAGCAGTGAGTGCAGCAGATTCCTGGGTTTCTTTTCTGGGTTATTTCCCAGCAACTCCACTTGAAAGAAGAAAGGAAACAGAACATAACAGAATGGTCAATCGTGGATGTGGTTTTGAATTATTTCCTGATGAATTACACTCAGAAAGCAATTCACAGCAAAACCTTTCAGTCCAAATCAATACAGCCCTGCTCCAGCAGAGTGTGTGGGTGTTCCAGGTGAAGTGGGAGAGACTGGAAGCTGCTTTTGGTTACCTTTGTCCCCAGCTCCCACCAAACCAAAACATTAAAAAGAAAAGTAGGAAAGACAGCCTCCCTCATATTCTGCTATTGCTTGGCTATTGAATTCCAGAGCAGGAGGAAGGTTTTGACTCAGCATTTGGGGAAATGAAATGCCATTGTTTAAAAAGAAAAAAATTAAAAATGGTGATTTCACTGCTAGAGAGTTATGAGTTTTAAAAGCAGAAGGTCAGACCAGATGTTTGCAGGGGCATCATTTCATCAGGGACCTCCTGTGCTTCACAGCCCACCCAAGGGCTGAGGCCACAGGCTGGGTGACACCGAGGAGGTGACACTTGAGGTGTGTCACAGCTCTGCCTGCGAGTGTGAGTGCAGTATTCATAAAAAAACCATCTTGTTTTACATAAGCATGGCTAGGAAAAAGTAAAAGCCAGCAGATGACCCAAAATGAGGGTGACCCTCTGCCATGCAATCTGTTCCTGCCCTTTTCAACTCTTCCTGCTGGAGACTCTTCACTGGCACGTGCAGGAAATATAAAAAAGGCTGTCCTGTCTGAGCCCAAAAGAAATGCATTACCCAGCCTAACTGCAGGATTAACCAAGCCAAACAATGACTGCTGTCAGCACAGGAGCTCAAGTGTTTGCCCATGACTAAAGGCTGACTGGGACAGGTAACATCTGCGACCTTGGGCACAGGAGACAAGCGAGGACTAAAACCGGTCTGGGGAATTTAAAGCAGTCTCACTCTGCTGCCAGACCTCACAAATCCAGCTTTTGTTTATTTATTTATTTGAATTGCAGGGAAAATGTTAAACTCTGAGGATCTTACCTTCATTGCCAGGGCAATGAGAGCTCCTTCTGTGGGTTGTCCTATCACACTGTTTTTCCTGATCACGGCGTTATTGACCACACAGCCAGCCTGGAGAAAGGGACAGGTTTGCATGAGCTGTTTTTATCATTGCTGAAGTCACAGCAATGAGTTTAATGAATGAATTTAAATTCATTCTTTAAATGAAATGATGGGAGACTGGGGAATGAAAGGAGCCACATCCCAAAAGTTTTGGGAAAAGGTTTCCCCGCAGCAGCATCACTTGAGATCAGTCCTTGTGTTTTTCTAAAGCCACTTAATCCATAACACACAGCAGTATTTTGGTAAAATGTTATGCTTTGGATAAATTAACATCAAGAAAACATGAGATACAGCTAATGAGCTTGGTAGATCATGAAAATGAAAGCTCAGTCTCTCCTCCTATTGTTTGTAATGTGCAGTATGAATAAAACAAGACCTAATCTCCATTTGAGATTCCAGCTCAAATCATTTCACCAACCAAATACTCACTTTAGCCTACAGCTGAATGTTCAAAATTTTATGTAAAGCTGACACGAAACCCAGAGAACATCACAATAAATTTATAAACTGACTGTGTAGCTGGCTAATGTCTAGAAACTGTGCACATTAAAAACCTGAACATGGTAAAATGTATTGGTCTGTCTTCTGCTGGAATTGTATTTTTACCCAGAGTATCATTGACTCCTGAAGCTGATGGCTCTGGTCTCTCCATGTCTTGTGATCACTGCCTTTCACTCCTAAGCTTCAGGAATAACATCACACTCAGTCTTCCCATGAGAATGTTTTAGCAAGACAGTCCATGTTAGAATTACAAAAGGTTTTTTTCCCCTAATTATCCAAAGTTATTTGTGCAACTGAAAATTGAATGTGACTAGGATAAGGTGGTCCATAATTTACACTTACCTCTACAAGTTTCCCAATGGAGATGTTGGAGAACTCTTTAAGGATCTCCTTGGATGGCAGAAGATAAACATTTCCTTCTCCATTGTAGCCCACCCCACTGACCTGAGGGAGGGAAAGAGAGATGGGACATTTCCCCTTTCCCAGGCAGGGCTGGACTACAGATGTGTGCAGGAGGCTGCACTCCAGAAAATTTACATTTTGAAGGAGTGCAGGGATTCTTCTTTCTCTCTCAAAGCAATGCTTAAAGGAAAGGCTGCAGACCGTGACAGTATCACATTAAAACGACTTTTGGGGGACAAAAGAATTCAGTTTGTCCTATAGGGAATTTGTTGTGATTCCAGAAGTCTTCTTCTCAGGGGAGAGCTGCAGACCTTTGGCAGCAGTGGCATCACTGGGTTGGTTCAAGCCCTGCCCTCCTGCTGACTGCCCTGTCCCTGTATCACTTTTTGCATTTTCCCTCATTTTGCACAGAGAGGAAGGAACCAAGCAGAGAAGGAAGCTGCTCTTACAATAAATATTCCTACAGGAGATGGGCCAGTGGCAGGTTTCAGTATTTATAAGAGCTGCAGGGAACAGCAGGTTATGGCAATGAACATCTCTGTGGTACCTGAGTGGTTTTTATACCCTCAGCCCCACCTCTGCTTGTCCCCAGGGCTGCAAAAATCCCTTCTCTTTACGTAACGTGCTTGGTTTGGGGCTGGCCAGCCTCCCTCGTTTGGGTCTAAGCAGACCAAAGGCAAATTGAGTGCTGCTGGGTTCCAGCAGGAAAGGCTGGATTAGCTCCTCATCCCTACCTCAGCCTGGCAGCCGTCCGAGCTCAGCAGCCGGGTCACCGTCATCTCGTTGGCAGTCAGGGTGCCCGTCTTATCCGAGCAGATGACATTGCAGCAACCTGGGGCAGGCATGGCTCTGGTCAGAACTGATAGATAATGCAGCCCAGCAAGCAGATTGAGAAGAAGGAATGCAGGTTTCACTAATTTTGTTTAAACTGTGCCGGGGAAAGGGAGAAAAGATCAAGGAATGCATGAGCTCCCTAAGAGGGAAGGAAAGGATTGATGCACAGTGGGGCATTGTGAGCATCACTTGGGTGTGAGGTGTGGCAGGGCACACCTGAAGAGGGTCACATTGTCTTGGTCAATCTTCCTGAGTGGCAATATCACACAACAGAGCAGCTGCTGTGTCCCAAAAATACAGATCCAATTCCCACTCTGCCAATTAAGTCTTGTTCCTGTAAATGAGGAATAACAGCCCTTCCCTGCTAAAACTCAACCATCAGGAGATGGCTGAAAGGCTGTTACAAAAATACTCAAAGATGGGCATCTAAGAGCAGAAACTGCCCCTTTGCTCTGCTTTCTGGCAGTCCTGATCCAGTAAAGCACTCTTTTCCACAGCCCATTTACAGAACACCACAAAAGGGTGAAGTAGCAGAGCCACCACTTTGCAGATAATTTCATCTCCCAGGAACGGGGGAAATTAATACAAAACAAGAATCAGGCTCCAGCTCCCTCCTGAGTGTGAATATCTTCCCTGGCTCTGGAGGTGGTCACAGTGCTCAGGCACAGACCCCATGAGCACAATGACCTCCAGGGAAAAACCTGGAGAGAAAATAAAGCAGATTGGGATGGAATGAAATGAATCACACTTTGGAAGGATTAGCCAAGAGCAATATCTAATTTTTAAATTAATTGAATAATAAAAATAATAAAAAAAATAAAATTAATTAATTAAATAATAAAAAAATAATCAAAGAAGGATTGTTTTTCTCCTTCTCAGAAGTTTGACAGTTTTGGCTGTGCCTTTTCTGCACCTGCAGTTCCGCCTCTGCGGGTGCAGCCCTACCAGAACGAATTCCCTCACGAGGGAAAAGCTGTTTCAGATATCCTGGGTCAGGGCAGAGACAATAAAATCAGGGTGATAAGATTCCTTAACTGCAGAACAAACAAGGGCAGCTCAAACAATAGCAGTGTTTCCCACGAGGACAGGTTTTAGCTGCAGGATCTGGCCATGCAGCAGATTTTGGGAGGTGCACGGAGCAGGTTTGGTATTTATTGTGCATTTAATGAGTGGTGCTAAACAGACACCGTGTCTCCCCCTTCAGAACCCTGCTACCCTGAGCCAGGGCACAGCAGCCAAGCCTGGAGTACAGCCACCTGGGAGTAAGGGACAAATTAAAGGTAAGGGGAGGTGGAAGAACAATTCCATCCCGGTTTGTTGTGCCCTGCAGCTGTGAGGATGTGCTGGACGCCTTCTCAAGGTCCCCTCTGCTCCTCTCTCCGTGACTTTTTGGATATCAGGGAGATGGCCACCCAGCCTGCAGAGGGATAAATGGCTTTATTCGTGCTGCCAAGCTTGACTTGAGGGGCTGGGAGGTTTTTTATCCAAAAAAACTGAAGAAGTGGACAAGGTGGATCTGCAGGAGGATCCCAGAGCATGGAGGGGAAGGAGGAACAAAGATTTTAACCCAATGTGTGTCTGCAGAGGGGCTCTGCTCGCTGTGGGCTGGGTTGCACCATTTCAAGCAAATGTTTGTGTTCATACCACCAGAACAAGGGAAAAGGGTGAGAAACACAGGGTAGAAATCATTTAATTCTGAGTGGGTTGCTCTGTCCCAGTAAGCCTGTTCCAAATTAATATTTCTGGATCAGACCAAGGCTCCCAAGGCCAGCCTGTGCCTGTCCAGCTCAGATTTTGGATCCTGGCAGGTAACCAAGCCTTGGGGCCCATTTGCAGCCTTACCTAGGGTTTCTACTATGGGCAGCTTCTTCACAATCACCTTTTTCTTGGCCATGCGCAGCACTCCCAGCACCAGGGTGACGGTGACCACGATGGGAAGGCCCTCGGGGATGGCAGCCACGGCCAGGCTGGGGACAGCAGAGACACAACAGCCTCACCACGGGGACCAAACCACGAGTACTGACCCAAAGGTGCCAAAGGGACATTCCCAGGGTTGAGTTTTCCTGAGGGTCTGAAGGGGATAACCACTGGGACCCCTGGCACACTGCAAACACAAAAGTGGGATATTTATCCAGCCCTTTGACCTTTTCCTGGATGATTTGGACAGAGAGGTTATTTTCCTTCTTTACATTGCCAAAGAGCAGTAATTTCTGGCTAAGCAGGGATTTAGAGGCTGGATTTAATTTCATTTATTTAACTTTCTGAGGATGGGAGTTGAATATTCCTTGGCATCAGGGCTCACATGTTAGCCACTGGTTCCTGGCCCTCACCTCCTCTCTTACCCCACACTGGGGGGTCAGAACCAGCTCCCCAAATGTCCCCACCAGCAAAACCTGCAACACCTGATATGCTGGAAAAATCCAGCCACAGTCTGTATATCCAATATTAGCTATTCCTTGGAAAACTCTGAATGCTTCTAGGCATGTGCAGAACGAGACCTTACAAAACCATAATCTGCCCTCCAAAACTCAGGATTAACCACTTTTCTTTGCCACCACATCCCCCTGGGTGACAGGAAGGTGGCACTGAGTCACTTTGGCTTCTCTGTTCTTTGGCTTTCCACAGAACATTTGTTGTTTTTAGGAATTGATTTTAGAGCCATGACAACACCAAGTTAACAGGTTTTATGGGCACTACTGAAAACACATTTTTTATCGTGGTTGGTTAGGAAGCTGTGCATGTGTTTTTTATCCTGTATGAGATGTGCATTCCTTTCTTGGGATGTAAATCCAGTAGGAAAAGAGTAATATTTACTGCTGGTACACTCCCACTAAATTCATAGCACAGATAGGAAAGGACATTCACAGCAGGATGAGGGAGAGATGCCAGTGAAGATTTTCAAGATAACAGTTTACAAAATTAAATAAACCCACAAGCTTGGTTTTGTTTTCCTCCACTCTGTTTAAACCTCACATTAATTTTGCCAGTGCATGAGAAATATGTATTTATGAGAGGTTTTACTCAAGATCTCGTGTGTGAAATGTCCATTGTTTTGAACAGGGAATTCCTTGGGACATTTTATTGGGAATCAAAGAGAAAAGTGCTCTCCAGTCCTCACCTGACTCCAATGGTGAACATGCTGAGGAGACTCTTCCCCTGCCACCAGCCAATGAGCATTATCAAACCTGGGGGGGGATAAATCATCTGATCAAAAAGAGAATTTCAGAAATCCCTAACGTGTTTTAGCTGCTGTTGTACAACCAAACTGCAAAGCCCAGGTAAGCCAGGCCCACGAGTGCTTTTGGGAGAGCAGAGGGGTCCCACAGCCAGTGTGAGCCTGGCACCCCACTCACCGATTATCCCAAAGGAGAACAGGGTGAGCTGCTTCCCCAGCCTGTCCATGCTCTTCTGCAGAGGTGTCTTGGGGGTCTGGAAAAATCAGATTGCTGGTTCTGCTTGGGCTGTTGTGTGGGGTGAGGAGCTGCTCAGCCCCGAGTGAGTGACCCACACAGGCCTGGCTGTCCATACCTGTGCCTGCAGCTGCCTTGGGCTCTTCCCACCCTCGACCCTCCAACAGGCAGAGCCTGCCCTGTCCTTCCCTGCAGACACTTGTCCCTCACTCGCACTTTGTGGCATTTTGTGGCAGGAGCAGGACTGAACCCAGTGCATTGAATCCTGCCACTGCTCCTGCCCACAGACTTTCATCCAGGACATCCAGAATTTCCCCAGACAGGGACTGTGTTACCTCCTCAGCCTGCATCATCTTGAACACCTCGCCAAACTGGGAATTTTCACCCGTGCCAATAACCACGCCCTGAAAAAGGGAAAAGAGAGATGGAGGTGGAAAAATCTAGAGGACCCCAGGCTGGTTTGGGTTGGAAGGGACATTAAGCCCATCTCATTCCACCCCTGCCATGGGCAGGGACACCTTCTACTGTCCCAGGCTGCTCCAAGCCCTGTCCAGCCTGGCCTTGGGCACTGCCAGGGATGCAGGGGCAGCCAGAGCTTCTCTGGGCACCTGTGCCAGTGCTCCCCACCCTCCCAGGGAAGGATTTCTTCCCAATATCCCATTTAACCCTGCCCTCTGCCATTCACCTTTTCCTTTCACTCCATGCCCACACCAAAAGAATCTGTAATTAACACTCAGGAAATGATCAGTGATGTCAGGACTCACTTTTCCCTTCCCGTACCGCACCAGGGTCCCCATGAAAACCACATTGCTCAGCGTGGTGATGTCCCCAGCTTCCAGCAGCACACCCTCACTCTTGTTGCAAGGCTCAGCTTCTCCAGTAAAACTGGATTCATCCACCAGCAGATCTGTAACCTAATTATAAAGACACATTTCTGGCACTGTTAAGACAAGGAATTTCCCAGCCAGGCTCGTTTGCAGCTGTATTTACCTCGATGAGCCTGAGGTCTGCAGGAACCCTGTCCCCCACAGACAGGTAGATGATATCTCCAGGCACCAGCTCTCGTGCTAGAAGGTGCTGCAGTTTTCCTTCCCTTAAGCTGCACGAGGCAAATGGAAAAAAGGAGAAAGGGAACCAGGCCGTGAGGTTTTTATTCCTTCTGCAAGCTTGGGAATGTGGCTGGAAAGAGAGCAAGAAGCCTTGCCCCAAGGAACTTCCAATGTAAATAAGAACAGAAAATTTTCATACCACTGAGCAGAGGATTATGTTTAGTTTGGGCTCGGTTTTAATTCATAAACAGATGGGCAGGTTATGGGTGATTTACATTTCAGAAGTGACTTCAACATTATACAGTAGAGGAGCAATAAGAAGTTGTGCTTTCATGCTTTAAATAATGAATTGCAGATTCTTGAACCTAAAAAGAGGCTTTTTAAAGCTAGAATTACCCCTGGCATTCCACTATTGCATTCAAAGTGGAGCCTTCCAGGCAGTTGGATGCTCCTGGTGTCCTATCATAAATAAACAAAGAACCAGCAGTGGGGTTTGTAAGCTCCAGGGTGAACTTTGGACCAGAGGAAAACCCCACACCTCTTTGGCAGGGCAAGGCTTCTCTGAGCCTCACAACTTATTTCTGTTGGCAGCAACAAAACTGATTTGCAAAGACACAAATAGGGAAAATGTTTCTTGTCATCTTCAGCACTGCTAACAAACATCAAAGCTGTGGGGAGAGCGGTGTCTGAGGCACCCTGCAGCTGCTCCATGGGCTGTGACTTGGCTGTGCCTGTCACACGTGTGTGCAGCACAGGTAGGACAGGAACCCCATCCCACCTGCACTCAGGGGCTGCTTTGTGCCCATCTCTTGGGGGGAAAAAATACCCTAAAGCCAAAAAATATATACACAGGTGAGGTTTTTCCTGCCCAGGCAGACAGTGACACACAGGATGCTGCAGGGATGTACAGCAGGATTTTTCTGGGGCCCTTCTGTCTCTGGGCATTTATTCAATTCCACAGGGTGCCTACTCCTTATTTCTAATTTTTCTAATTTTTTCCTAATAATTAAAGAAATAATTTCTGATCAATAGTGATTATTTCATCCCTTTTCCCTGTGACCTGGAGCTGCGCCCATTCACGTTGCCACCCCTCCCGAGACCGGGTTCTTCTCATTGTGTGCACAACAGCCTGGAATAATTTTCTTCTCCTGCTTGTCCTGCCCTCTCAGCCCCACTCCCTGCTGACCCCCTGCTGCAGCCACGTCTCACCAGTTGCACTCGGGGGGCACCAGCTTGTTGAGCTCTTCCAGAGACTTTTCCGAGCGATATTCCTTTCAAAAGGACAAGAAGGACGAGTTACAGGAGAGGTCTCTTTCCTGGCAGCCACGGCCATGGAGCAGAGCCCTGCAGAACCCACCTGGATGAAGGCCACGGTGACCACGATGAGCACAGCCTGGGAACAGAGGGGAGGTACACGTGTGGGCACTGAGAGATGGGCTGGGGCCACCAGCATGGGGACAGGGGACAGGGGACAGCCACCATGGGGACAGGGGACAGGTGACACCCACCATGAGGACAGGGGACAGCCACCATGGGGACAGGGGACATGGGACAGCCACCATGGGGACAGGGGACAGCCACCATGGGGACAGGGGACAGGGGACATTCACCATGGGGACAGGGGACAGGGGACACCCACCATGGGGACAGGGGACACCCACCATGGGGACAGGGGACATGGGACATTCACCATGGGGACAGGGGACACCCACCATGGGGACAGGGGACAGCCACCATGGGGACAGGGGACAGGAGACATTCACCATGGGGACAGGGGACAGGTGACACCCACCATGGGGACAAGGGACAGGTGTCACATACCAGGGTGACCCAGGACAGGTGACACCCACCATGGTGATGCTCGCGGCGTCCTCGTACTCCTTGGTGATGACACTGACTAAAGCTGAGGCCAGCAGCAGGAGGATGAGGGGGTTTTTGAACTGAGAAAACAAGAAACGTGTGGGATGAGAGGTGCTGAGCTGAGCTGGCTGCAGACCCCACCAGGAAGGGTCCCTGTGTGGTTTGGCTGCAGGGACACTCCTTGCATCGTGGCCAGGTTTCTGGGCTTCCTGACCCCACGTGGCCTTGGGGACCAGCAGGACAAAGTTCACACCAAAACACACCAATCTCCCCACTTTTCCCCTTTTTGCACGGGCAGTGCTCCCCTCTGCAGACACACAGCACAGAGCTGATTCCAAAAGCTTCTTAGGTGCACAATAAGGACAAACAAAAACTTTACTGTATTTTTAGAATCTGAAACCAGAAATCCTCTTTTTCTTCTTTTTCATTTCTTCTTTAATTAATCTCCTCAAATCTTCACTGGACCCAGGGCTGTGGGAATCAGGTGCTCACTTGTTTCACTGTTAAACAGAGATTTTGAGGCCCCTTTTCTTACCTGAGAAAATTACAGCTCTGTTTAACTGATGTGGGAATTGATGGAAAGGACTTAGAAAGATAAATCTGCCTGCTTTGTGCGGCAGATGTGTGGTGATGCTCAGTAGGAAAGCCAGGGCTTAAATTTATTCCTGGCTGGATCCAAAGGTGAAAGTCCCTCCATTTTTCTTCAGAAAACCAAGGCAAAGGGGATGTTTACAAAAACAGCAGCTGGACAAAGCCACAGCAAGGGGCTGCTGAGGGCTGATGCTCAAGTGCAGGACCAGAGGCACCAAAAGGTTGCAGGAGGATCAGAGATGCACCAAAGAATCCCTCTGGTGTCCCTGTAGGAGAAACTGGCTCTTAAGGCTGAGCAGAAGAAAAAACACCACCTCATTTTTTATCAGGAATAAAAGAATCCTTGGGAAGATTTAATGATGATTACCAAAAGCTTAAAGAATATCAATCACATCCAAAAAAAAGGGATAAACCATGAAATAAAATTGAAGTCTTTCAAAGCAACTCAAATCCTTGTGATTCAACTAAACAAGATCAGTCAAATCACTGGTTGGAAATGAAAAATAGAACTGAACAAATAAACAAAAGGCCCTTCTTGTCTGGTTAAAAGCTCTCAAAAAGAGGTGAAAGATGCATTAAACACTGATGAGAAATAATAATAAAAGCAGAATTCAAGAATAACTTGTCTGGGGAAAGAGAAGGAAACAGTTATCACCTTCTGCCTGGCTTTTGGGGGCAGCTGTGGATGTCAACAGCACATGGCACCATTTATGGCACTGGTGTATCACTGACAGAGACCCTAAAACTGCCCTGAGCTCCACAGCTCTCCCTTTTCTGGAGGGACAGCCAAAATCAGAGCATCTTCCAGCTGCCACTGGCTCTCCTCAAACCTCTCATGACGTTATCACCTGCCTTAAAGGGAATAAATATGCTCCAGCAATCAGGCCCTGATCTCCAGGGTTTGATTTGTGGGTTGTGTGGAGATAAAAAGGTTCATTTCTGTTTGAAGATGTTATCTGCACCCTCAGTGAGCTGCAGAGGAACTCACAATGGTTTTGCCAGGAGAAGGAGCAGTTCCTGTGTCCAGGGCACAGCCTGTTCCAAGGCTCAGTCTCTGGAAGCAGAAACCTTGAATATTTCATTGCAATCACACACTCAGAGCAACCCAGCTAGGTTGTGGTTTTGCCAAGAAATGAGGATCTGTGCAGAAAATCCTTACCTGGTCCAGATACTTCTTCCATATTGGCTCTGTGTTCTCTACTGAAAATTCATTCCAGCCGTGTTTTGACCGGCGCTGGAGCACGGAAAACTCAGAGAGTCCAGTCTGTAAATCAACCTAGAGGGGAAAAAACCCCAAACCCAACCCAAACCGTTCCTATTATAGAAAATTTATTGTATCAAATTTATATTAAACCCCTATAAGCACATTAGGCAAGATCTTCATGGCTCAGTCCCACATGCAAAAATAAACCTGTTGTTTTTCTTTTCAAATATGTAATTTCGTTAAACTATAAAATATTACCATCAACTACCACAGAAACCCATAAAGTAAGCACAAGGTAATTAAAAAAAAAAAAAAAGTATATTTCCAGAAGGGAGAAATTCTATCATAGATGACAAATTAGAAATCTAAAGCAGTAAAAGAAAAAAAAGTAATTTCTGGTTGCACTGTGTATTTAAAGAGAAAGTAAAAATAAAAACACCCTGACAAAATTCAAAGGGAACAGAATCAGAAGGGATAAAATCTACTCTGCCTGGATTTAAAAAATACTGAGGTCAGAAACTGAAATATATCCAAGCACTAAAGCTTTCCCTGATTTACAAGCCAATTAAAGGCTGATTCTGCAGCTCACCTCTTCCCACAGGCAGATCCCACATTCCCAAAGACAAATCCTTACATTTAGAGCTCTTGCCAAGTCCTCCTTGTGGCATTTACAGGCGTCCTTCGGGGGCAGGACTGCCACCTCCTTCTCCTGCTCGATTATTGTCAGCTCGCACTCCTGGCCGGGCTGTGGAAACACGGCGAAGCCATCGTTAGGTGAGAGCAGTGTTAATTAAAGCTTTGCAGCATTCCTTGCTCCTTCCCTTAATCCCACTCCCTTCCCTCTCCTTGCCAGCTTCAGTCCTTCCACTTCCCGAATCTCAGCGCTCTAATAGCACTGAGATGCTATTAATTAATCCTGTTAATCCTGGTGGCAGCCTCCAAGGCAGGGACACGTTCTCCTGGGGGCAGAGAGGCTGTGAGGAACCAGAGAGAAGCTCAGGGTGCTGATCAGGACAGCTCTGTGGTGTTTGGGGTGTCCTGCCCGAGAGGAGCTCTGTCCCATGCCAGTGTCTGACAGCCCCGACTCGGTGCTCAGAGCAAGGAAAACAACTTTCCCCTTGTAAAAAACACAATAACTGAACTGAAAACGTGGGCTGGAAATGTGAGCCAGACAGAAAAGCAAAATCTCCCCTCCTGTGTCCAGGGCTGTTTTGCTCCACTGCTGACTCTGCAGCTGCCTCCAGGCAGGATCAACCCTTCCTGCCCCATCCAGGCATCCCAAGCCCTTATCAGCATCCCAACCTCTCCCTTTCAATTTCCTTCATCTCCTTCTCTAAAATGCACCTCCCAGAGCAGCAGCATTCCCCAGATCTGTGCCAGGCCCATGCTGAAGGCACTGTGATCCCTGAGACAGGCTGAACACAGAGAGGGAGAAATCTCACCCTTCCCAAGGAACAGGAGTTCCATTCCCTTTTGCCTTCATTCATAAAGCACAAGAGTGCGTGTTCATTAAGAAAGGAAGCCCCAGAGAATGTGGCAGGCATTTAGCACCGGCTCCCAGCACCCTGGAATGTTTCTGTGGGATGCACTCAGGTCTGGCCCATCCTCCTGCAGTGGTATTTGGGGGCTTGGCCCTCCCTTGAATACTCAGGAGCTTTCTAGGAACATCCAGTGCTTTGCAATCTAAAGCCCAGGATAAATGCAGAAAATCATAAATGCAGAAGATGTCCTCAGCTGTTCTCTTGTGGGGTTGGTTTCAGTCTTGGGGTTTCTGGAGAGCTCAGAACATCTCTGAGCCCTGCTCCTGGAACAGGCTTTAGCCATATCCATCTGTTGCAGCCTCTTTTTATGGCCCTTTCCTGACCCACAGCTCAGCTGCCAACACGAGGGATGCCAGCAGCCCCCTGCTCCCAGTGGAAAATACAGGAGTCTGCTGGGACCCCTTCCTCTGGGCAGGGCTCATTTAGAAACCATTTTGTCCCAGGAACAACCTGCCTTCCTAAACCCTCAGCAATTTGCCCAAGATCTCCACGGATTTTTCTGCTCCCACATTTCCCTCAAGCTGGTGACCCCATATAGCCCAAAGAAGCTGCTCCCCTTTTGGAGCCATCCTAGCACTGGACATCACCCTCATTTCCTCATCTCCTTAAGAGATGTCCTTAAGATGTCCTTGAGAAGGGACAAGAATACCCCTTCCATGTTTAAAACTCGTGGTTTATATCCCTGTTTGTCCTGGCTGTACAAATTCATCAGTTCCCTGCAGCTTTGCTGACATCCAGCCACTGAAATCCCAAGAGCCACTTAGGGAGATGGAAGTGGGAAGAAAACAGAGGACTGCCATGGATAGACACATCCCTGAATTCACTGCCACCCTGATTAATGTGGCCTCTCCAGGCTCCTCTGTGCTGCAGGTGACACACACACACAGGTATCAAGGTACAGCTCTGCCCTGGAGGAGTTTAAATTTTAATGGGAGCAGCTGGAGGGCAGGAAGAGACCCGGACACGAGGATAACATGCCTGCAGTCCCCAGGGGCAGCAAGGCAACAGGGCCCAGCTCTATCAGCAATATTTACCTTCAAAAAGGTGTGGAGGAAATAAATTACAAAGGCTCTGGATGTGGCTGAGCCCTCTTGTGGTTTCTCTAGAAGTGCTGGCAGCTCCCTGCTCCCAGCCAGGGGCTGTTATGACAGGAACAGCTTTATTGGGATGAGCTAGCTTGCACTGCTGAGCCTAGGGATTTCCCTTCATGAACGTGGCCCAGTTTTTCCCACCAGAGCAGCCCCTGAAATGCACAGATCCCATCGCACCCCGAGATGTGGGGCACCAGGCAGTGTCCTGTGCAAACCCCTTCATGAACACACCTCTCCTCCCTTTCATATTTATGCTTTGTATTTACCTTCTATAAATGCTTTTGTATTTACCTTGTAAAGCAGATGTGGGTTATCCACAACATCCATTTACTTTTATAACCTTTATCCTTTCGGCACAAGAGCACAGGCTCCATACAGCAGGGCAGGAAGAAATAACAAAAGGGGAGATATTGGTTTATCTACTGCTTTGCAAGATCAGGAGATACTGGAGGCTGCAAAGAGCAGCTGGTGTGGCTGGGAGCCACCTTGGAGGTAGCAGAGCATCCCTCATCCCAGAACAATCCATCGATTGTGCCGCCCAGCAGCCCATGTGGAAGAAAGAGAGCGTGGGGCTTTCTGCAGAGCACACAGCCCTTTTTGTGTACTCTGGCAAATAGCCCAAAATATCAGTTCTCGGGATTTTCCCCCACCTCTGCCTCTGCTGAGGTTTTGCATATTCTTTTCCCTGTCTTAGGTTACTTTGGATTTTGCAGTTAATGGACTGCAATACAGAGTGGGCTGGTTTATTTAGTCTACATGAAGCCCTTCCAAACATTAAACTTTATCCCTGACAAAAATGCAATAAATAAATCAAACCATTCTCTCCAAAGCCCTTTACATTTATTTCTTTATTTTTTTGGGTGGACATGGCAGGTAAAAAGACCCATGTTCCAAGGGTGCAGGCAAAATCCAGAATGCAGCCTAGAGCAACCCTCAGCTCTTCAGGTGAGGGGCTGCCTTGCTTCTCTATCCAAGCTCCCAGCTCTTTCTCACCTCCACCACGATTTCTGCACCTCCCACACATTTCCCACTCCCCTTTTGCACATCTGTCAACAGAATTCCAATGTTTTTTACACAAAACAAAGATCTGGTCCCCCTGCTTGAGATAAAAAATTCAAAATCGTCCCTTGGATTGTTCAAAAGGCTTTTTTGCAGGTTTTGCAGTAAAGCTGATTTGAGGCACCCAGCTGCAGCCCCCTGAGAATCCTGCCCTGGACTGTGCCCACTGGGGTGATGCTGCTACGTGGTCAGAGGGAAAGGGGGATGTGAGGAAGCAGTGCCCAGGATTTTCTCCCACTTTCACACACACAGGCACGTGTGACTGTGAACGTGCACACACGCTGGGATGCTCGGAAGAAAAAATCTTTGTTCTTCAGATTTCTGCAGGAAACATATAATTCTTGTAAACTGTAAACCAGCCCCACAAAAATTCCCCTGGTTCTGAATGGGGCTCTGCAGGAAAGGAGTTCAAGCATGCTCAGCAGAGTCTGGACACAGGCTGGGTGTGTGCTTTGATGTGCCAGGTGAGTGCCCTGCCATCTCCAGGTAACACCATGGCCACAGGTGAACTGGCCATCACCCCACAGTGACAGCACTGGGGCTGTCCTTCCCAGCCCAGTTTGGGCATTTATCCTGCCTGGAGCCCCATCAGATCACCTGGAATCACACCTTTATGGCCCAGCACAGTGCTTTGACCAAAGTATTTATAAGGTTGTAAGTGCTCTGCAACTACTTTCAAGTAAAGAAGCAAAATGCCATCAAGTAGGGAACAAATGAGTAATTTACCAGCCTAAATCATAGTCTGAGAAAAAGTTCTTGATTTGCCAAGTTCTTATTTTCATTTTACACTGCTGTCTACTTCCTGCCCCGTGCCAAAGCTCTCCTCACCCCCCTCTCCTGTTATACACAGACCACTCTCTGCAAGCACCAGAGCTAAAATCCAAGAGGGGTTTAGATTTGGAAGTAAATACCTGTCACTATTTATTTTGGCACAGCATAAATGGTGCAGCCTAAGAACAAGCCAGCCTAATTGCCAACGGCCTCCTGCCTACGTGCAATCAGAAATCTCAGCTTCCCACCAAGCCAGGTTACAGGGACTTTCTGTAACCTCATCAAGATCTTTTTTTCCTGGGATTTTGAGCTCTGGGTGAGCAGTGCAGAGCAGCATCACCCGGTGCCCTGCACAGGGTAAGAGTTCAATGCCTCATCTGTCTCCTCCCCGCAACACTGACCCACCCCACACAGGACAGATCCCAAAAATGGGATTAGCTGAAATGATATTTGGAAAGGCCTCAGTCAGTCAGGAAAAGCACATGAATCTCTCCAGGTGTGTGGCTGGAGCCCATTGGGATGGGAGCAAGGGCTAACCCCGCTTGCTGAAGGAATTAGATGATTGGGGTTCACGTGGCAGAACACCCAACCAATCTGCCACGTGGGAAAAAAATGGGGCTTGAGCCACGGAAACCTTGTACTGTGCAGATAATCAGACAATCCCAAACTGGAAGATTTGGTGGCAAAACCCATAGAAGAACAGCAAATATGTCACCCAAACCGCCACTGGCCACTCCATCTGCATGAGGACAGGCAGTGAGAGCAGGGAGTGGACAGCAGAGAAGCATTTTTCAGGGAAGGGAAGCGATATTTCCACGTGGACTCTGCAGGTCTGAGCCAAAACTCTCCTTGGCCGCTGGTTACCAGCCCTGACTGCCCGAGGGTCAGGGGTACCCTGGGGTCAGGGGTACCCCGGGGTCTCCATTCCCCCCGTTGTGCCCACCCTCCAGAGCTCCCACAGCACTCCAGGGCTCTCCCAAGCTCTTGGAAGCTCCTCAGAGCAGGGAACACCGCTCCTGGGCAGGATTCAGACCTCAGCTCTGTGCCCTTGGCAAGAGCACCCAGCTCATCCCCGGCTGCCCGAGAGAGCGAGAGCGCAGCGATCCCGAGGTACCGGCGGGACAAAGCAGACAAAACCAACCCCAATTACACAAACTATTGCAGCACGGCCAGGCACGAGAGAGGCACGAGAAATCCTCACCTCCTCTTCCTCGCCGCTTCCCAGGGGCTGATATTTCTGCACCAAGCGGAGGAGCGACCTTTTCTGGAAGAGTTTGGTGAAAATCCCTTCGCCCATCGTCGCCGCGGGTTGGGAGCAGCGGCAGGGCTGGCTCCGGCTCCGCCGAGCTCGGGGTTACCTGCAGGGAGAGGCACCTGCACCTGCAGCCAAGTCACGCCTTCCCCGGAGCCCGGCGGGTGAGCGCACAGGAGCCGCGGGGGCTGCGGGGTGTGACACGGGCTGCGACACGGACACACCTGGCTGCGACACGGACACACCTGGCTGCGACACGGGCACACCTGGCTGGGACACGGACACACCTGGCTGGGACACGGACACACCTGGCTGGGACACAGACACACCTGGCTGGGACACGGACACACCTGGCTGGGACATGGAGCACACCTGGCTGGGACACAGACACACCTGGCTGGGACACGGACACACCTGGCTGGGACACGGGCACATCTGGCTGGGACACGGGCACACCTGGCTGCCACACGGACACACGGGCACATCTGGCTGCCACACGGGCACACCTGGCTGCCACACGGACACACCTGGCTGCCACACGGGCACATCTGGCTGCTACACGAGCACACACCTGGCCCGCACCTCAACAGCAGCCTGGCCTTTTCCTCCGCCCTCCCAAGGATTGCTGCGGGAGGAGCATCGGCGGGGAGATGGGGAAGGTGTTTGGCCAGGGATGCGAGAGAAGCAGGGGCAGGACAGGTTTCGCGCACCGCCGAGCCTGTTTGTAACTTCCAGGCTGGGATAGTCCTTAGGAAATGCTGCGGTCAGCACAAGGCCGGCGTTTAGAAGTGTTTACATCAGGGAGGAGGCATGGATGTGTGATGTGGGGATTTGTAATGATCATTTATGAAATCCACAGTGTTTCATTCGTGCTGGAGCCCAACACACGGCTAAGGTTGGACTTCGGTGTCCAGAGCTGGACTTGAATAATCCCTGTGGGTCCTTTCCAGCTCGGGATATTCTCTGTTTCTGTGATTCCAGGCTGGATAAAGGTCACTGGTTGCATCATTCCCAAAGATTTATGGCTGCCTGTCGGGGAGCATCGCGCTCTGGTTTGCCCCACGAGACCGACTTTCTCCCCCAAGCACCGTGACTGTGGGATCCGCTTACCCTTAAATTGTCCCTGAGGTGTAAACTGGGAGATTAAGATCCTCCTTTGACAGTAAAAACTGCACCGAGGGAATAAAAGTCATTCCCAGCCAGAGAAAAATAGATGTGCAGTTTTCTGCAGGAGAAGAGTTTCCTCCAAGGACCATATCCAGAAAACCACACATTTATTTTGCTCTGGATCATGATCAGTGACAGCCTGTGCTACCCAAAATTTGGCCAGCCCTCACCAAAACGCTGCTTTTCCGTGGAGCATCTCAGTGCATCCTGTTTGCATCCCCTGGCTCTCAGCAGCTGCAGGAAAAGCTGAGGAGCCCCTGGGACACCCACGAGTGAGAGGTTCTGTCCCAGCCTGAGGGAAAACAGTGATTGGGAAATGGCCCGAAGGAGCCAGGACCTTGTAAAGCACAGCCAGGGCTCCCTGGGTTGAGCAAGGCTTTCGCAAGGATCCGAGCTGGGTGCGTCAGGCATCGCAGGAAGTTCCTGCATCACCGAAACAGCGCTCCTTCCCACGGGAAGGGAGCCAGGGATATTGCTGGGCTCTGATTTTCGGGAATCTCACATCCAGGCCCTGCCCAGGGTTTAGGTAAGGTGCTTAGCCAGGGCTTGGAGCAGATGCAGAGGGATTTGGACTTTATCGTACGGGAATCAGGAGGTGAAACCTCTCTGAGCTCATTTATGCTCTTGAACTGGTGCCCCCCTTGTGCAGCTTTTCCAAGGAGCTGGAGCACATCCAGCTGGCTCTGCCAGCTCCTGACAGGGCACAGCAATACTGCCTGGCAGGGAATCCCTTCCCCTGCCCACCTGAGCGTGTTTCTGGGCACCACCATCTCAAGATCACTCCAAATCCTTGTGTTCCTGCCAGGAAAGCGGCGGAAAACATCTTCCCCCTTTCTAGGTAGGTAGGAAGGAAGTTTCCCTTTTCTCACCCCAAATCGTTTCCCGTCATCCATGAAGCTGCTGGCCACGAGGAGCATCCTGGGGCTGTGCTGTGCATGGTGTGCCCATGGCCTGGGCAGCCCCAGCGTGGCCCTCGTTAGCCACTGTGGCTAATTGAGCAGCAGGCTGATCCTTTCCTCATTTAGCATCATCCCCTTGGCACAGACCTGCTGCTTGTAGAGACACATGGAGCTCCAAGAGCAAAATCCAGAGGGCCAAGAGGCCCCACCCTGGGTTAGGGAGGGGGAACAATGCTCTGAGTGGGAGTGACAGAAATTCCAAGACAAACAGGACACAGAAAAGGAGGAAAATGTGTTGACGAGTATAATAATGCACCACAACAATCAGTGCAGGGTGGTTTATTATCCAGCAAACTGGCAGCTGGGGAGGAACAGCGTGGTTTGGGATCTGGACCACGTCCCTCCCTTTCACCTTTATGTTCCCTCAGTTCTGTTATGGGAAATTACATTTGATGAGATGGAATAAATGCAGGGAAAAAAATGTTGCTGTTTGCCACTCACTCTGAGAAATTGCTGAACGGACTCAAGTTTCATTTTCTTGCTGCTGTTGATTTCTGTGTGTTAGGAAATCTAATGAAAAAGTAATGTATTTTTCTACCCCATGGATCAGAAAATGCTGGGAATAAACTGAATTAGGACTATAATGCTAAGAAAACAACACTATTACAAGCTGTGTTTCTTCACTCTATCATTTTCACACTCTAAAAACATAACACAGCCCAATTACAGTGCCCTAACAGTATTTCCTATTTAATTGGATAATAAAACTCCAGTTCTAAGGAGAAAATTTGGAAAACCTTTTTATTTTTTGTCTTTTAAGTAGAAAATATCTGTTATAAAGACACACATAGCAAAGGAGCCATTCTCTGAGATCAAAAATATGATGCAGTGAGTTCAAAACTCACAGCTCCTACACCTGCTTCCCTGCTAGAACCGGGGCTTGTTGCACTTTTGTTCCTCTTGTGCCACCTTGAGGGAAAAAAAAAATTCTTCTGCATGGGTAGAATGGAGTTTGCTGCTACCCCAAACTCCAAACACTTCACTTTTGTGTTGGGATTTTCCTGGGCAGAACTTCTGCTGCTCCTGGTTTTAAAAGCAAAGAACAGAGTTTAGAGCCACAGTTCTTTTCCATCTTGTCCAAAAAAGGGTGAATAAAATCCTTGTGTCTGTCCCCAGGTGTGTAATGGGGAAGGAAGAGGGAATTCAATTAAAGCTTTTGGTTTCTTTTTGCACAGTTTCCATTGCTTAAACTGGGAGAGTCACCTGGTAGGGGGCTCAGGCTAGGCAGAACGAGCCCACCATCCACAGCTCTGTCTGGGAAACTCTCTGAAGGTTTTTTTTGGTTTTGCACAGCTTCTCTTGTCGTTCTTGCTGTTTTGTCTGCACGGAAATGTAACAAGAAGGAGAAAACAATGGGAAGAAATAGCACTTACCTCTGGAGACTCACCAGAAAAAGGTGGTTTTTTGTTTTTAATTTACCATTAAAAGATCCTAAATGATGCCGTAAGTCCTTTTGCCATAGAGAGACAATCAGTGCTCATCCAACCCCACCTCCAGAGCGGAATCCAGCCTGTGCAGCCAGTGTGAGGTGGGAGAAGAAAATAACCCCCTGTACAAACCAACCCCTGCTGTGTCACGAGCAAAGGGAAACCTTCAGCCTCCAAAAACTCTTTTATGGGTTGTCCAAACCTCAGAGCCTTCTTCACTGCTCTGCAAACTATGGAAAACTTCCTGAAGGTGACCAAGACACTCCTACACCATAGAGCTTCACAGAGCTCTGAACCAGGCATGCCAGAAGTACAGCAATTATTTATATTATTCTGGTTATTCTGGTAGCAGGTATAGACTTCTTGAAGATCTATTTTGTTAGTCCTTCCGTTGATCCAGCTGTTGGATTCTGGGATGCACTGACAGCATTTCAGTGTCACTCCAGACACTGCTTCAAGTCACACTATGCTTTTTCCACAAAGATCACTACCAAACTACAGCAGCAGAAACCCAATTTGCTTGCATTGGCGTGGAAATTAGCAGAAATTAAACCATGATGTTGTGGTGTTCACCAAACAAATCATTCTCTTGAAAGGCAGGATTCTTGGCTCCTGTCACACTTGCCAGCAGGAGACAGGAGTTTATGTGCACACCCCCATCTAAATGGGGAGGTCCAAGGGATCCCAAGGACCATGAGAGGTCCAAGGGATCCCAAGGACCACTTCACTGACTCAGTGAGGAGCTACCCTGACACCTGGTGCTGGCTGGGGCCATCTCAGTCCCCCCAAACCTTCCCAAAGTGCCAGCACTCGCTGCTGTCCCCCCGTGGCTCAGCTCCAGGCAGCTCCTGTCCCTGCTGTGCTCCCAGGGCAGGAGGGAGGCACTGGGAGGACTCCTGCCCGCTCCGGACGAGCAGGTAGAGCAGGACTGGGTGGGTGGAGCAGGTGGGATGGTGGAGATTGGAACCGGCCCAACCCCTCTCCTCTGCCAGCTCTGCCCAGCTCTGGCCTTTGCCTTGCTTGGTTTCTCCACCCTCTGAGGCTCCTGCAAAGCTGCCTGAGCAGCTGCTGGTGCAGCCCAAAGCAGCTGAGCTGGCAGCAGCAGCACTGACCCGGTGCCTGGGCAAACAGGGTCACTTCCCCTGGGGGACCACCCCCAGCCTCCCCAGGGCTGTCCAGCAGCTCCTCTGCGGCCAGTGCAAGTGCAGGGGCCAAGAACTGAGGGTCTGACCCACAACAGTGACCCCTCTGGAAGGGGACGGGGTGCTGGATGCGTTTTGGGGTCTGTCACCTCCCTTCCACTGGACAAAATGACTTTTGTCTCCCTACACTTGTGTTATGTTCTCCCAACAACTAAAATTTAGAAGATTTATCCTTTTTTTTCCATAATCCAAAGCCAAAAGTCCATCAAGAAGACACAACAGAAACTCAGCAGGGTCGAAAAATAGACTGGTCACTTTTTATTGAGCACCAAAGCAGAACCTGAACACATCTGAGCACCAGGGGCACAAACCAGGGAGGGGCTGCCTGGGGCTGCACAGATCCTCGGGGATGTGGGAGGCCGTGGGCATTGGCAGCACTCAGTGACACACAGGAAGGTGATCATAGCACCAAACACACTGCAAAGTGGTCATGAAAATGTTCAGAACAACCTACACCAGGTATTTCCTACTGTGCTGCTGGTAAAGCATCTGTTTTTGGAGAGAAGAGCAGCTGAGGACAGCTCACCTGCTCTGTGTTTTCATTTCAGTGACTGAGTTTCCCATTTCGGTGTTCAGCGTTTCACTGTTGAAAACACAGCACTTTGACAAGTCCCTTCTGTGGCTTTTGTTTCTGAGTTTGACAATTAATAACTTGAATTAACTCGGAAAAAACCCCCTGAGCATTATAGCACCACGAAGAAGGATGATGGCTTTGATAACACCCAGTAAACAGAAATTTACCATCGAATTATTAACTCATCAATGTTCTTGTTTTTTTTTTAATTCCTTTTGCAAGCAGAAAATACCTGCACTGCCCCACCCTGGTGGTCAGGTACATGCTTCTTCAGCTACAAAGAAAACAGACACCAAAGTGAATGTGTCCACTCAAATTAAGCATATTTTGGGCTGCTTTGAGAGATTAGGTTGAGATTTGAAGTTTTAATCTTTCAAATTTATGAATGCTCAACACTAGTTTTTCAACTAGCTCCTCACAAGATTTTAGGAATTTTTTAGTATAAAATTGAACATTTTGGCATTTACTCTTTGGGGATTAGATCACTGGAGGGATTTGCTCATTTAATCAGAATTTGATTTTTTTTCTGCTGAAAGTAATGCTGAAGAAAATCTATTTCACTGAGAAGCACCGAGGAGTGAGGCTGCAGCAGGATAAGTGGCAAGGTTCTGGTCTAAACACAGATTGGAACTATTAAATACAGATTTGAGCCTCGATAACCTGGTCTAGTGGAAGGTGATGAGCTTTAAACTCCCTTCCAACACAAACCATTCCACAACTCTCTTGTTCTGTGGCTCCTGTCTGAGCAGGAATTAAAATGTCATTGCAGGAAGCTGTAGGATAAAATTCTAAAAATAGCTCTGTCCAAACATGGTGCTGCATTTAATATCTTGCACTTTGAAAAAAAAGTGATTTCAACAAATGAAGATATTTAGGAAAATGTGGAGCCCTTCAGCTGTTTCTTTGCTCTGTAAAGCACCCAGGACTGTGTTTAGAATAGGAAACAGAAGAGCAGTTTGGTATTTTCCATCTCTCCAGCTGCAAATGTCATGTGCAAAGTATCAAGAGTTTTATAGGTGTCTTGGGTTTGGCTTAAACCATTTAGTGAGTGGAAAAATAATCCTGTATTTTGTGAGTCGAAGTAGGCACTTACATTTGTGAACTGGGTATTTATATGCAGTGCTACTACTGTGCAAATTAAAATGCTAATTTCATGCATGCAGATGGGACATGGACTAAACCAGGCAGCAAACGTGGCTTTTCTGCCAAACAATTCTGGCTGATTTGCCACAATAAATGCAACTGTCCCTTCAGAACTTCCACAGGAAAAGAAAACCTTAACAGAAAATGTGTTTTCCATTGTATAATGCTAAGCAGCTAAAAGAAGCTGTGAGGCCCAAATACAAATACCCAGACATTAAGGATTTATGGAACACAAAGGTACAGGGCTCCTGAGGAGCAGTGGCCCATCTGCCAGACAATCTTTTTCATCACACAGATTCATCCTGGGTTTGCTTTTCTAACACATTTAACAAATTATGCAGTCTTCAGGCCTCTTGCTGAGGTTTTGCAGGTACAAAGCCACAGATTTTGTGAGTATTAACTGTGTTGGCTAAAACCAGCACATTACAAAGCCTGGCATGCATTTGTGTCTCTGCCTGGATATTGTAGGAAGGAATTTGTTCCATTATTAACTCTCAATCTGCAGCTCACCAGACTGAGAAAAGTAACCTAAAAACAGTTATAAAGCTGTTTTTGCTCCTAGCTTAAACTTCCTCAAATTCTTAAGACTTCAGGGTTAGCCATTTAGAGTGGGTGTGTCAAGCCTGTTTTTTTTTGTCTGGATATAAATAAAAAAAGAAGAAACTTGCAGGTTTCTTTGAATTTTAAGCTGATGAAAAGGCTTCTTTAAAGGAACTGTTCAAGACAGGCAGGCACTGGATTTGATCCAGGGAACCTCTTTAGTCTCACCTATTTTAAAGCAACTTAGATATGATATTTAGGTAGAATTCTGACGTCACTTTAGTAACACTGCGTTGTGTTCACAGGCCTGCAATCTGAATTAGTCACACAACAAGCACATGAAGGGCAGGCTCTGTGGCAGCAGCCTGATCATGGCACTGAGGCTTACAGAGATCCCTTGGAGGTGTTTGCATTTCATTTGTAGCAGGGCAGCTGATAAACAGTGTGGTTTCCTTTGGGAGATCATATTTTTCCCCTTCCTGGTGGGGTTAAAATCTGGACTCATCCTGTTCCTTGGATAATGGAATTTCTTTTGATGGGCAGGGGGATGATGGAGATGTGCTTGTGGAGATCTGGAGCCAGAAAGCTGCTGGGTAAAGCATTCCTTGACAGAGTAGTCCAGCTGGGTGAAAACCAAACAACAAAAGGAAAAAAAAAAGTAAGAGGAATTAAAATATTTATCCTTCCTGGGATGTTTGCACAGAACTTGTCCTTAAGTATCTGAGTAATCTTAACAGCCAGCCTGACGTAGGTACAGAAAGACACTGAACTGCTCTGTTTTCATAACTCCCAGCTAAACCCAAGTTCATTTTAAAGTGAAGCTGAAAGTGTTGAGAAAACCATCTTGGGACAGAACTTTTGGTATAATAAATATTTTCATTCTTGCCTAATGCAAGCCAATAAAAAGGACGGAGCTTTTGCTGTTGGCTTGGCTCTGACCAGATAAATGTGATTTTGCTCACATGAGTGGGTCCCACTGCTCAGCACAAGTGTTCACACACATAAAATTATCCCACAAAACCCCCCATGTGCTGAAGTATTTGCTAGACTGACCCTTTTTGCAGTCAGCACAGAATAAACAGCTTTTTGGTTTGTCTGGCAGGACCAGTTACACCAGTGTTGGAAGAAGCCCCAAAACACAAAGTTTAAAGTCTTAAGGAACACCAATCATTTTCCATCCTTAAAGTCACTTCATCCTCTAAATACCTACAAGGCAAAGGTTCTGCAAGGAAATCAGGTGTGTCTGGTGGAATAAGAGTGTTTCATGCACCTGTACAGGGTTTTAAGGTGCTGTCCTTACTCCAGCTCAGAGGAAGTATCACCCTCAGACAATCATTTCTGTGAATAATTGCATTCTAAGCACCAGCTATTTCCTCACAGCTTTCCCTTTATTCACAGGGCACTTACCCAGGCACACCTTCAATTAGCCTAAATGCTTCTGCTGGTTTTTCACATAGCCGACCAAATTGTTGGAATTGCTCCCTGTAAAACAAATATCAGCAAAGTCAGGTTTTGGGTTAGGCTCTGGCAGATGGTTTCTTGAGGTTCTCTCAACAGTGCAGTTTTATTGGTCCCATTATTTAGCAACTCTTGGAGAGTTGGGATAGCTCACACTTGAAGAGAGAAAAGGAAATCCTCTCATGGTTTTATGGCCAAATTTGGCTGTTTGTAAATCTTATATCAAAGATGCTGTGTAGTTATACCTGAATGTCACTTCCAATCTGATCCACATCCAAGAGGGAGGAACCAGGAGCTTTGAAACTGTGAGGAAAGGTGTGGGAGATGCTCCTGCTTTCTTTGAGCCCCAGGTTTGTGAGAGGGACCTGACACCTCTCAGGGAACACAGAGGGACTGATTCACTGGGCTCCAGCCATCCCTTATCTCTTACCACAGCTCAGGACCCTGTTTTTGACAGAGCTCTGTGTTCCTCTGCAAGGAGTCCTGGGCCAAGAGCAAAGCTCCAAAAATATGCTTAGAAAATTAAAAAAATATTATTGGACTGGGTGGTTCCCCTGGCATAAGACTGCACCATTTAACTCATTGTGTCACAGCTGAAAATTCTGGTTCTCAAGAGTTCAGAGTCAGGAAATTGTAGATCTTATTTTAAGATCTTCTGACCAAGGCATAGGGAGTTGAGGATATAGAATCTCTTTTTTCTATGTACAAACCTTCATTTCATAAGGAGAAAATTCCTTGTAAGCATTGCAAGAATGATAAAGCTTAATAATAACAACAAACACTTCATGCCAGCAGCTTACCAAAATATTCCTTGTAATACTTATGCCTCAGGTTGTGTCCATCTGGAAAAGAAGGTACATGGTGAGAACATACCCAGTCAGCCTTTATTTTTGTATTAAACTCTGACCTTCTGTGTACAGCACAGAGAAATTAGAGATATGGAAATAATAACCTCACAATGAGGAAAATTAAAGTCCTCTGTAGCTGAAGTAATTTGGATTGCTATAAACCTTTTATAAACTGCTGAGATTACTGAGCTCCATGGACACAACTCACTTGCCAGAAGAGTGGGAATTGCCACTACCATTTTATAATTTTTTTCAGCAGCTGTAAGTCAAGGAATCAGAGGCTTTCCCAAATGAAATAAAATTTGGGTAACATTTCAGGTCATCTATTTAGTATTTTATATAATTCAAGTTCCAGCTAGGTTGTTCTGTTTGCCATGTATATAATTATTCAAGCCCTTCCTTCATGTCTAAGATCCCCACAGTTCTACATTACATTGGTTACTACTGATGTTATTTAAGAAAAGGTTATAAAAGATATGATCCAAAAGTCCTGGAAAAACTCTTTAATCTGTTTTGGAAGCAGTTCAGAGACCTGGTTTGATGCTTCCCCTGGTTTTTACAGTGACCAAATGGCAAAACTGATGTCTCAGGTCCGTACCCTGAGATGATTTGTAGCCCAGTGCCAGTGTACATATCCTACCATTCAATGAATATCTAAACAAGTTATGAGCTCTCCTGGAAAATATTTTGGCATGTACAAAATTCTCTTTTGGGCACATGCGTCAGCAGAATAAAGGCGACAAAGTTTTGGATGCAGAAAGCAAAGGCAGAAGAGAAAACTGGAATTTAAAACCCAGATTTCTCCTCGAAGAACACACAAACGTTTCTGGTTTTTGTGCTGCGTAGTGAAGCACACACAGACACACCACCAGAGGACACTGGCACGGAGCATCCTGGTCCCTTCCTTTCTGGTTCTGCCCTGCACCAAAGAGTTGAACAAACAGTTCTACCAAACACCAGCATGCAGGAAGAGAGGGAGGGAGAGAGGGAGG